GGTGGAGGGTTGTTGCAAAATTGAAATTCTGCCCTGGAAAACAATGGTGAATTTTCCTGAATATGCAGAGATGAAAAGTCCCCATCATCATATAGAAATACTATGAGTTTGAATCAATTGTTGTGCAAAGATGGACTCCCTGCCCCCCAAAGAATCTTCTTTTGTTGTTTGAGGGAAAACTGAAAAGTTTACTGCAACAATGGAACATTTCTTGTTGATGGTGTGGAGATTTTTCTCAGACTGTAATGGATTTTTAGTGTGGACTGACACAATGTCAAGCTGGGTGCTGCAATCTTTAGTGAAGTAACAAGATATAAAACTTTAAAAATTGAGCATTTACAATAGGGACATAAAGACGTGCTTTTAAAATTGTAAATACATATTTACAGGTTTGCATGGTAAACCAAAACTGCTCTGGGAAAAGTATTCATATAGCACAACATTTACACACTTCTCTCCTTGAGTTTCTTGAACAGTATCATTAATATCGCTCTAAAAAACAAAGAAAAGTAAACGGCACAAAATTCAGCTCGAATAATGTCATGGTCTGCCTTAAAGGCACTAAGTCCAGCAGAATACAAGCCAGAATCTCCATTTTTAAACACACCTTGCCCACTCCTAGATACTGAGCGAGGTCTCAAGAGTGGGCTATTTTAAAGTATAGTTCCGGCTGCAACATGAGGTGTCTCTTAAGCAAGAGCCCCTGAGTGACGAGTGAAAATACATCACTTAGTAAACATGCTCGTTGTCTAACAACATTGTACGGAAAACTTTAGGGATACCTCAAAGTGGTGCTTTAAAACACAGGCTCTTGGTTGGAATTTTTCTCTAATTTGTTGCTACAATGTTAGGTGCTGTCAAAACATACAGGAAGATCGTCCGTTTTCTAAAGAACTCTAGCGTGGGTGTTACCATACAAATTCTGGATCATGAAAAAAGGAAGAAACAAGGACAGGTAAATGAAAGAAAAGAGAATTTGCTGAATCTAGTGCAGCAGAGTCTATTGTGGAGACCTTTAGATGACGCTAAATGCCCGTAACTTGGAGATTAGGTACAATGGGGGCAGGCTCCTAGACATATCTAAGACCCATAAATTGTTTTATCTGTGTGCTGAGATTTTCAAAGCTGCCCAGTGGCTTTGGATATGTAGTTTACATTCATTTTTAATGGGACATCCAAATTCATTAAGCAGCTATGAAAATCTCAACTGCAGTTTGTAATGATTTTTTTTTAAAAGGAATTTAGTGCCGGCAAAAGATGCCAGATGGGACAAGCGCTAGAGAATAAGATCCCTGGGATATGGGGGAGGTAGAGAACAACCAGCAACAGCAAAAGCTTTCCCCACAGTGCCCTCCTCTTGGGTCCTTCAGGCGTGATCTGCAGGCACGACTTCAGTGGTAGAAGGGATCTGACTCTTTATGGTTCATTCAGTCCTTAGTGTGTAGGAGCCTGCCTCTCTCCATATGCCCTCCATGCCAATTACACTTGGAAAGCACTCCAGCTAGGATTCGGAAAACAGCCTATGGGCATCAGCACTTTTCCAATGTTTTTTGGCTAAACAGAATATTTTTGTGAAAACAAATTCCATTTTTTTTGAAAACTTTCATGTTATCATGTTTTTCACTGAGACACAAAAACAAGCAAAAAAGATTCAGCAATGTTGAGAAAAAACATTTTTCATTTTTTTTTTTTACTTTTTTGGGAGGGTGGGGAGAAGCGGCTTGTGAATTTGTTGTTGTTGTTTGTTTCCACATATTTAGCTGTCCAACAAAACCCTCCCACGATTTTGGGAAAAAATGTTTTCATTGACTTTTTTGGGGCGGGGGGGGGGGGGGGAATCATTCCCTCACCAGAAGTAGAGTCCAGCATCTGACTGCCAGTGACTTTCAAGGCAACTTGGGCACCAAATTCTCTTTATAATCTACTTTGAAAATCCCAACCTCTCAAACTACATTGATGGGGCGCAGATATGTACTTAATTACTGAGGAAACATAGAAGGAACCCTTCAACGGTATACTACCAAGGTGAAGTTTGTGGAAGCAGGAAGAGGGCACCTCTGCCCTATGACAGACCTGTGTGAACATGGCCCTCTATGAGCAAGAGATAATACATCTCTGTTCAGTCTTCTCACTAACTGCAACACCCTAAAACTTGGTCTTTACAGGCTTGGTCCACAATTATGGCTCCTTCCTCTCTAAGCCTAACCAAACTAGATGGGCTCTAATGGAGGGTCACAACTACTAACCTCCCTATTTGGGAGAAGAGGTTGCTTTGGACTGTGCACTGTAATGGGCACTTTAGGAATGTTTGTAAAACTCAGTCATGGCAGCAACGGCCGGGTGCCAGGCTAGCGCTAAATGTAACAGAAGCTTTTTGCAAAATGAACACTTGTTCCATTAGAAAACTGGACTGAGGCCATCACTGCATTTCAGAGACCACTTAACAGGTGCGTTTCCAGGAGATGTGGGTCCTACCATCTTCTAGAAGCGGTGGCATCACACCTTTGCAATGTTCCAACATCTTAAAGGTCATGATACACACTCGACAGACTGGGGTACCGACAGATTTGGGATATGAACACCTCAGCAAACTCTGCACAACTGGGTGGATTTTCCATGGGTTGCCCAGTTCTATAGCGTGTACAGTACAGTTAGAAGATAAAATGATGTAACAGTCTTTTGAAAATGTAATTGCATAGTATGTCCAACCCCTCTACGTTCCAGCAAAAAGAGAAGAATTGCCCAAATCTGCCTGCCCGCCCAACGTGGTCAAACAACCTACAATTCCCTCTGAATGTGTTCCCATGCTGTTCCACTGGCTCTGGATGAGTGGACTTCACATTGCAGGGGATGCTATAGAATCAGCCTCTCACCGGCCTCTGTAGTTCATGGCTCGCTCTCTGCAAAGAAGGAAAATATGACAACAAGGTGCCGGTGCTTCTGGCACAGAATACCATTGGCCCCTCTTTCTCCTGAAGAACTCCTGGTCCCACTCGAACTGGGAATGAACAGAACAGATTATGATATCGAAGGATTACTTTGCCTTATCTTTTCAGATCAGCACTGTCCTGTGCCTGCAAATACACAGTCACCTGGAATAACGGTGGTCTCCATAGAAAAGTCACCATTTACCCAAAGTGGAATATGAAAAGTAAGTCTCCCCTATTCAACAAGAAACAACAAGGGAAACTCAGATATCACTGTCCAATCAAAAGTTGTCCAATCAACTTTTTACTATTCACCACCATTCCTGGCAGTGCAGGAGGCAGTTTGGTTTTCTTATCCTACTAACTTTTCCCCATAATACTAATTTTCTCTATTTCATTTACAGTTTAGTTTAACCAAATATAAACCTATTTCAGGGTAAAAGACCCTGCACCCATCCAGGGCCTGGACCCTGCAGCCATTTGCACATGTACTTAACTTTACTCACATGACTAGTAATAATACCACCTCGCTCTTATGTAGCGCTTTTCATCAGTAGATCCCAAAGGAGGTCACAGTATCATTATCCCCATTTTGCATGTGGTGAAACTGAGGCACAGAGACGAGGTGGCTTGCACAAGGTCACCCAGCAGGCCAGTGACAGAGCCAGGACTAAAATCCAGGTCTTGAGTCCCAGTCTAGAGTTCTATCCACTAGGTCAGGGGTAGGCAACCTATGGCACGTGTGCCGAAGGCGGCACGCGAGCTGATTTTCAGTGGCACTCACACTGCCTGGGTCCAGGCCACGGGTCCGGGGGGCTCTGCATTTTAATTTAATTTTAAATGAAGCTTCTTAAACATTTTAAAAGCCTTATTTACTTTACATACAACAATAGTTTAGTTATATATTATAGACTCATAGAAAGAGACCTTCTAAAAAACATTAAAATGTATTACTGGCACACGAAACCTTAAATTAGAGTGAATAAATGCAGACTCGACACACCACTTCTGAAAGGTTGCCGACCCCTGCACTAGGTTCTATCCATCAGCATCTTCGCAGATTTCAACAAACTTTACTACCGAGTTGGGCTTCTGCAACTAACGGGATTAGTCAAAACTCCCTCTGACGTACGGAGAAGAGAGTCATTTCAGTATCACTAGGGGGACTGGGCCAGATCCTCAGCTGAGGAAAATCGAGGTCACTCCCTCGATTACAATGAAACTCTGCTGATTTACACCAGCTGAGGATCTGACCGAAAGTATTTAAAATGCATCATGGCGCTCTAATTTTTGTATTAAAAATGTCTCCTACCAAAGAAGCAAATAGTGAAGTCAAGACTCAAATATGTAAATGGATATGCAAATGAGGTCTAGTTCTTAAGCTTCTGGCACATTGCCAAGGCATCCCGCAGTGGCTTGGGTGCAGTTGCCTTCATATTAAGAATAGTGTGACATTAAGCCTTCGGTCCTTTTGTCCCAAAGGATCTCAAAGCACTTCAGCACTTCTACCGACAGCAGAAATGAAATGCAGCCCTATGTGAGGTGGGGGGTGGCAAGCAAGTAGCACACAGGTCCTTGCCCAGCAGCATGGGAGGAATGGCGAATCGGAGCACTTACAAGAATTGCCAAGGGCTCAAAAATCCACCTGTAGGAGTGGCACAGTGAGCTTTACGACCTCTTCCACAAGGCTCACTCACAGGGCATGGAGTGAAACTCTGTTCTCCTGTTGCAGAAGAATGGAGAGCTAAGTCAACCCTGCCAGGACTTGATCTTGTGGCTCCAGCAAGTCTAGGTGTTTCAGAACAAGAGGAAAGGATGGTCTTATGGGCCTGGCTAAAGCAAGGGACTAGGACTCATATGGAGTTCTATTCCCAGCTCTCTGCGTGACCTTGGGCTAGTCACTGAGGTGGTGTGCCTGAGTTTCCCCACCAGTAACTGAGGACCATAATTAACTGCCTCACAGGGGTTCGCTGAGGTGAACTAACGTTTGTAAAGTGCTTTAGCTATAGAAATGCAAACATCGCAAAGCGCTGCATGTTCATCAGTGCCACGGGGTAACCACCTTGCTGTACCTGTTTTGGTTTGATGTGCAGCAGGAGAGTCTATTCCTTGAAGAAGTGGGCCGTCGTGCAGTTGGATTTCTTGCATTGCCTGGTGCAGGTGTTCTGAGAAGAGGAGGGGGGACATCTAGAGGCCATGCGGAGTCTGTAACTGCAGAAAGAAGCAGGAGAAACTGTCTCTCACACACACACGCATCGTATTTGGGATAAAAGCAGAGACAGGCCACAATATCCAACACACAATCTCGGTTCAAACATTTATCCCAACCTACTTGCCAGGCTGGTGGCCCAGTATCATATGAAAGCCTGGATACCTTTCCTGGGCTTGATCCAAAGCTCACTGAAGTCAGTGGGAGACCTTCCATTGGCTCCAGCAGACTTTGTATAAAGGCTCTATACCCAGGCTGGAGGTGCTGCTGCAGAGGTTGCTCACGCAGATGAGGCAGTGTCTTGCGTTGCTCTGCAGTGACCCTAGTCAATTTAGGTGAGACGTGAAAGGACCCAGGAGACATTTGAGTGTGTTCTCCCCCCGCCCAGCAGCCTCCCCGATGCCAGGCTCAAATAAGTATGTGGAGAACCTTCCAGGAAGGACAAACTGGACATCAATACTCAATAGGGCTGTGACAGCCGCAGGCCCCCTGTGCAGAATAGCTGGCAGAGTCAGGGTCTATTTTGTCATGTTGCCATGTCATTGTTTTGCATCTGTGTTGATGCAAAAGGCATTTCACGTTTCATAAAGAACCTCATACACTAAGAGGGCAAGGTGTTCAAAAAGGCCAGGTGCTCAAGTACACTCCTAAGCTGCATGCCCCACACCACGAAAGCACTTGCAAATCAGATAATAGCACACATAGATAACCGAAAGCAGAGCGGCTAACGCTTATGATTTTACTGCAAGGCTTTTGATCTTGGCTTTTTACCTTCAGCCCCAAGTCTCCGGATCCTATGACTACATGAGAATCTCATCTTTCATTTCAAAATAAAAATTCCATTTCTAGTCTTCAGGGTTGGTGATAAAAGCTAATGACAAAGCGAAAAGAGTACGTAAAAGGCTAAAAGACCAAGAGGCAAGGATAAAAAGAATCACACTTTTTTTTTTTTTTTAAACACTCTGGCTTAAAAAAACATCTCATGATTTTTGAACACTTGCGGTTGCCAGTACTGCAGAACCGGCTATTTGTTCCGTGTTTTTTAAATAGCCCAGATTGAGGTTGAAAATTAACTCCTGGATATTTTATTGGCCACTTTCTCTCGTGTTCTCTACTTAAAAATCACTGAAGCCACATGGTTAACTATGGACTGTTTCCTGTGCCAAAGGCTAGCGAGTGCTATCTGTTGCAAGACTGCCTATGGGAAAATCAGTCGCTGTGCCATTACGTTGGCAGTCCTCAAACTCCATCAGGCTCCTGCATGGTGCATCTTCACCAACAAAGGGGTGTGCTTGCCTTAAGTTAGCTAACGTGTGGTAACTCAAGAGGTCAAATCCTAATGGAGACAAGGCAGTTTGTAGGTCTAATATGTGTTAGCAGGTTGAGGTAAACCTTAGACTTCCCCATAACCTTTACCTTTAATAATATATGGAGTTATACCTATCTCATAGTGCTGGAAGGGACCCCGAAAGGTCATCGAGTCCAGCCCCCTGCCTTCACTAGCAGGACCAAGTACTGATTTTGCCCCAAAGCCCTAAGTGGCCCCCTCAAGGATTAAACTCACAACCTTGGGTTTAGTAGGCCAATGCTCAAACCACTGAGCTATCCCTCCCCCTTGACCTGCTAATGTGAAAACTACAACCTGCCTTGTCTTCACTAGGATTTTACTGAAGATCACACCTTTCTTCTTAGTGGACACAAGGTCTAAGAGACTCTACATCAGGTCAATAGATTGGGGGGGCGGGGTGTGTGTGTGTGTCTGTCGCTCTCTCTCAAGAATCCACATATCCCCTGCTGCTGTGAGGGAAGAAGCTTGTGCAAATTATCTTCCATCCTCCACCATGGACTGTTCTGAAGCTCCTGTTCCTCTCCTACTCTCCTGGGATGGTGGGGGAATGGGGTCCAGCTACATGCCACGGAGAGCCCGAGTTGTGGTGTGGAGGAACTGGTGGACTCTTTGGTAACCTCATCCATCCACAAGTGGCATGAATTGTGTGTGTGAATGTGTGTGTGGGGGGGGAGGGGAGAGATTATCTTCACCCCAGTTGGTCCTGGTTTCAATCCATGGCTGATATCTTCATTTCAGAGCTGTCAGTGGAGATCAGACATGCACCAGCTGTCCATCCCTGCTTAGGAGGGACAGTCCTGTTCAGGGGATATTTGCTACTGGCCCTCCCCCCCCCATTTTGTCCCTGCAAAGCTTTCCTCACTCAGTAGGACTCAATGCAGTTCAAAGGGAGAGTGCACGAGTTAATAATTGTGTAGATCACGGAAATCTTCCGCTGAGAAGCACTGAGTTGTAGTATAAATTATTATTTTGCTGTGTTGTGAAACAGCAAGTTCTAACACCACCACTGAAGTGGGGATTTTCAGAAAGTCAGCCAGCTAAGAATAAAGGGAAGACATCCCACCCTGTGTCAGAGGGGTGGAAAAGTATTCACTGAACCATGACCTTAAAGCTTGAAAGCGGTAGCAGCAAAGATGTGTTAAAAACCAAGGAAACGAATGTGTTTTAAACAACACAGCAGCCCGGGGCCTTTGCAAGAAGGCACAACGCTTGGAACTTTCTCAGTGCAATCTAAACATCATTTATGGCAATGCACGCCAGCCTGTGTGAGGTCCGTGTGGACCTCTACTCATCAGAGCAGCAGCCAGCTCCCATCCTTTGCAGCAAGAGCCCTGTTCAGAGAAGTACATAACAATCCCCCACAGGGTGGTGCCATTGCCTTCCCAGCTAGAGAGAAGGCGTAGCATTGACTAGAGCCGGGCAAGAAATGGCAGAGTGAACGGACACTGATGTAGCAACTTAATGCATCAGGTATGAACTCAATAACGACAAACAGACACTGGGGATCATGCCCCGAACACCACATGAAGCCCATCTGGGGCAGATTTAGGATGCATTGGACCTGTCTGCAACAGCAACATATGGCTCTTCTGCTCCACTTGCATTTTTGCAATATTTATGGAGCTTGTTATGCCCACAAAGTGCTTTGAATGGGTCAGGATGGAGCCCTGCACTGTTATGAACAACTTCAATGATTGGATCCCGCAGAAAAACAAGCCAGGTCTCTATTGACCTTAAATTAGCCTCTTGGGAGGCTCATGAGTTTGCTTATTATAGTTGCAGCTCTGCTTTTGGGCCAGGTGGATCAGCGAGCAGGTAAGAGATACTCCCAAGAAGTCAATAAGCCACTGAACGCACATTAAAGCATTTGAAAATCCTGCAGCTGCACGAGCTCTAGAACCAGTTATCACTCTGCCAGCCTGCGTGGACACCGGACATCTGCAGATGTTCTCCCACCATTGCTACTTCCCCGCCTGGGGACAACAATGACAATGAGGCACTAATGTTTTTAACACTGTAACCAAACCCCTGTGCCTCACTGATGCTAGTGCCCCCACCATTGCTAGCGGGGGGGGGGGGGGGGGGAGAGCAGAACAAAGGGGAGAGAATTTCTGAAGATGCCCAGTGGTGGTGATACCCAGTTACGATGCAGCCTCAGTGGCGTATCAAGTCCGCCCTTGCACCACAGTTCAAGAGATTCTTCTCGCTGCAGAAACCGGGCTGACCTCAGAAAAGATACAGCGTGTACAGGGGGAAGGCAAAGAAGGCAAAGAGAAGTATCACTAAGTCTTGTCTGGACAAGGTTTTTGTACTGATCTAACTAAATTGGTAAAATAAAAAATAAAAAAATAAAAATAAAAAAGATTGATTTAGTTAAATGAGTGCAGTGGCTTGGGTTGCCACCCTCCAGGAACTAAAGATTAATCTTTAATTAAAGATTATATCATGATGAAACTTCTAGGAATACATCCAACCAAAACTGGCAAACCTACAACCTCCTAGAATAGACACGGTTACACTGATATAAAGGGGGTTATATTGGTATGGCTTGTTTTGGTAAACAAAATCCTAATTGATTTAAACTAACTTATAATAAGACACTCAAACTGAAATAGGAGTGTCCACACAGGGGGGTTTGCACCACATTAACTGAACTGGTTTGAAAACGGATTTCAGTTAAACCAGGGCAACTTGCTCATGTAGACAAGACCTAAGGCTTCTCCTTCTAAGTTAGGGACACAGCTCCAGTATGCTGGACGGCTGTGCTGTTGATTTTAGAGAGAGTTACACCACTAGCATTTACCGCAATGCTCCGAAATGTAGAGATGAAGGATTTGAAAGCAATTGCCTTTCAGTGAAAAGTAACATTTTCCAAAAACTCTAATGTCCACTGCTCCGACCTCCCCAAATCCTTGAACACTGGGTTGGAAGCAGAAGGATGTGTAATCTAGCTAGCCCATTAGAAAAAAGTACATTAAACATGCACTCCCCTCCTTTACAAAGAGCACTTGGCATTTTCATGCAAATTACCTTGTCTTCCATCACAGGTGAGCAATTTACATTCTTGAAAGGTGTCTGTCAGCCCTCCACATTACCCAATTAAATCCCAGAATCATCAGCTCTGTAACTAGTGGGAATGAAGCCCGGAGGCTATTTGTCATGATTGCTAGATAGATCGAGATCCAAAAGGATGAAAGATCCTGCTGAGATATAATGAATGGGGCAGTATAGTAACAAAATAACAAGTGTTAGTATATGGTGCAGAGGACAAAATTTGAAGGAAATGTAGTGAGGTTTTTAGGGTTTAATATTTGACTTAAGCTCTCCAAGAAAAACATTTTTCAATTAAGTTTCTGATCCCCTAATTTAACAAAATATGTACAGGGTCTGAAGTCTGTCTCTCTCCCCCCCGCCGCATGTCCCCACGCCACAATTTGATTTAGTTCCTAAAATAGAGCAGGGGTCAGCAACCTGCAGCACATGTGCCAAAGGCGGCACACGAGCTGATTTTTTGTGCCCCTCTGCTGCCAGCCGGGGTCCCGGCCGCCGGCTCCACTCAGCCCGCTGCCTGCCTGGATGAACGGAACCCCGGACCAGCAGCAGGCTGAGCGGGGCTGGCGGCCAGGACCCCGGCTAGCAGAGGCCGGTGGACGG